GTAAGAAAGAAAGAGTAGAAAGCGAAACAAGCGCTAACAACATTTTTTCTTTTCAGTTAGAAACGCGAATGTTTTACGTAACAGAGACTTTTTATTGTTCGGAGTGTTCGAAAATGTCAAATGCATATTTTTAATCACAAGTATGAAGGGAAAAAGGACGTACATCTTTTGCTTTTCGTTTCGACGAACAATTCCACATTTCAGTTAGTGTTTAAGTTTTGAATATAATAAATATAAATTCGTGTTTTAAGAAGTTTCTTAAATAATAGAATGTAGAGCATCTGCCAAACTGATTCTAAATTAACTATTAATATAAGCCATGTATTATATAAAACTTCAGCAGCTTAATTTTCATAAAACTGTCCATGAATGATTTAAATAAAATAATAAAATGTGCAAATAACTATTTATATGTAAGATAAAATTTTGACTTTGATATCCCCTCAGGTCACCTTTTTCATTTAATTATACAATTATAATTAAACAGAAACTTTGATTAAACTAATAATAGTAAAACGATACGATATCTTTTAGTTAAGAAAAATAGTACCTTCAACATTTTTAACCTAATGTCAGTAGCATAATCATAATCAGGGTTTCTTAAACTTTTTGAAATGGGGACCTCATAATATTTATGAAAATTTTGTGGGACCTCATAAGCATTGCGCTAAACCGATACACGCGTGAGTGAAACTGTCCGTTTCTTCACTTGCACTGTAATATACTATTGCAGTTTTAAGTCTTTAATTTTTAAATGTAAAATGAACGTTTCTATTACTAAAAAAATGCTTCGAAACGTTTTCGTTTTTTCTTTGTCTGTATTGTCTTATCTTTATCTGTTTTCAGATACATTATGTAAAAATATTTGGTAGTTGTAAAATTATTATAATAAGTTAAAGAAATATCAAAATTGCTAAAATTTTTGGCGACCCTTTACTGCAGGTCTCGCAACTCCAACTGGGGTCGAGACTCACAGTTTAAGAAACTCTGATCATAATTATCTCTGTTTTCACGCTTGCTTCTATCTTGCTAGCATGTTCTCCGTTTCTCTTTTTCACCTCTTTTAATACTATAAATATATGAAACTATTGAATATTGGCTACGTGTTTTATACCGGTTAAGCTATTTGTACTTTTAAGAATGCCAAGCATAAAAAAAAGTTTATCAAGTGACTATAACTGTATCCTCCTTGTAACTATCCGGCTATCATCATCATCATCTGCGACAGACTCCAAATGGTAGCGTCATTAGATTATTTTGATGCTAGAGACGTGAAAAATGAGAAATGCCGTCGTCGTCGTCGGGACTTGAACCTACGACTTTGTGGTGTAACGGCAGCACACTCGGCGCGTACCTCTGGAATACGCGCCGAGTGTGCTGCCGTTACACCACGAAGGCATGTTAAAAGGAGGGAGAAAATACCTTATATATTTCTCCTTTAAAAGAACGACTGAGGATTAGGGAGCCCAGTCGCCACATCCTGGTGGTGAAGAATTATCACCCACCACCTTTCAGTTGAGGCGCCACTGTAGAGTCATTAGGTTAGTTTGCTGCCTTAGACGTGAAAAATGAGCAAAGCCCTCGCGGGGACTCGAACCTGGATCTCACGAATACGCGCTAAGTAGTCTAGCGTTAAACCACGATGGCATGCAGAAAGGAGGGAGAAAATTCTTTATAAAGTAAAGTAATATTTTAATGAATTTTTTAAAAAACTTTTATCTATTTTTTACTTTGTGTATTATCCTTTTTACATGTAAATGAGTAATAATTTTGTGTGCATTTTTAATGCATTGCAACTAACATCATTTCTTACTATCTCTGTCTCTGAATAACCACTTCAAAAAAATTTAATATTGCAAGATAAATATTTTGGTAGATTGCAAGATAATTATCTAAGGTCTCTTTTCTCTCTCAGCCCTTCTACCTATAATGTTCCTGCTAGAAATCGCCAGAATTACAGTAAAATGTTATGACTCCTAGAATTGATGCAAAATAAACGATGCTACTATCCTAATCATGATTAAATATTTTTTATGTCCATCGACATAAAGTAAAATAAAAAAGTATAAAATTGGAGAAACTTTGTAGTGTTCTGCAGAAATAATAAAACAACGAAGTGTACTAGAAATGCGCTTTCATCAGCTCATTTACTTCACCGATACAAGAACTGCAATTTGAATCAAAGCTTGTTACGACAGGAAATAATATTCTATGTGATACTAAAACCATAATAGAATTTTCAGCTAATATTCCGTAATCAAAAATTGAATGTACTATATTTTTTTTTAAATTCATTTATTACTACACTCATACTTAAAATGCCCACCAGCGGCCGAGCGGTAAAGTCGCTGAACACTGGTAGTTCGGTCCGAGGTTCGAATCCCGCGAACGGGCTGGCTGCATGGGTGTTTTCGTGGTTTCTCCATGTGTAACGTGTATACGAGCCAGTTTTCCTTAGAAAATCCTTCACGAAGGCATCCTTTCCCTTAGGCAGATAGCCCTAGTGTGCTTTGCCATAATTAAATACACCACACACCATACTTAAAACTTAATTAATTGAACAAAACTTCATTTACTTCGCCTTCCGATTTCCATTGTAATGCAATTTAATTTCTCTTCTTTGACATCAGAGTTGGAAAATTATAAATGCTGTTATAATTATTAACTATTTATGATAATTGTTCAGACAGGTGTTCTGGATGTCATTGCTCACTCACGTTTTAAAAATACTACTGTCTAATGCATTTTGTTTATTGTGTTTTGCTAACTTTGATCAATAAAGATAAAACCGCTCAACTTCCTTGTTTGCTGACATCATTATTTTGAAATTTATTTCTTTTATACGTTGTTGAGATTTTCTTAGAACCGCACTCCATTATTTATTCCTTTTTAAATAAAGTGTGCATATTTTTTACTTTTTTCCCTGCTAGAAATATGCTTGAGTTTTTTTAATAGCTATTTATACATCTTTAGGGGATCTTGCAGTATTTCATATTTGCCTTTTGCTTTACTAGAAATTCCGGCAAGTTGCATTCTATGTTATTGTTTCCTTTAAGGTCTTGTGGAGAATTAATTAAAATAAAGCGAAGAATATTAACTTTTAAAATAAAACAAATGCAAGAATATAATGTGGCACTGTCTAAGGGCATTAACATTCTCGTCATTTTTTAACAGTCTAGTACAAGTATTTAGAACTAGCCAACATATATTATTACGCGAATTTTATTTTAGATGTTGAATACAGTCTACTGCTTTTTCAATCTGATTTGCTTAAGCTAAAACTGTTTGTAGTTGAAATAATTTTACTGGCAAATATTACTTATTTGAGTTTTAAGAAGCATCTATATGTACATATAACGGGATTTTGGAATCGATCTGAAATCTACTGGCTTCGAAGAGAGTGCGATTTTTCGAGCGAAAACGTTTTGAAGAGGAAAGCATTTCAATATACTGCATTATATAGTTATCCTACGAATGCGCGCTGGAGATAAAAAAAAAATAAAATAATTAAAAAAAAAAAAAAAATCCGTACAGTGTTCCTACTGCTGGCTTTGAAATCGTTGAGTTTGTTAGTTAAAGAATTCGTTAAAGTTTTACAAAATGTGAAATAGATAGTAAAACATATTCAGAATTCAGGCTTCCAGGTGCACATGTTTGGGTGAAGGATTACTTTATTAAAAATTGGATGACTTTAAGTACTGTCGTTTTTTCACAATGCGAGAAACATACATACATTCATGCAGATTCTTCATAATTTAATTTCTTTCAATATAAGACGGGGTGATACTATATATATATATATATATATAAACTTATTTTTCCTAGTTTATGTAATAAATAATTTATTCCAGTTTAGATTTAAGAGGAATGACTTTTTTAAAATAACGCATTATAATTTATCGCTAATTAAAAAGATTTTCAGGGATTCCTGATTTCTTTTAGATTTTTGAACTCATACTATAAAAACAATCACAAAAGTATACAAAATGCAGAATTTAAAAATTATTGTTCAATGACATCCTTACGTTAGATTTTATTAAATCTTTGAATGTGCCCCTCAAATGAATTATTTAGAAAAGTATTTGCAATCTAAACGGATTCTCCAAAGGAAATGTGACATAAAAGCCATATAGAAAATTTACATTTTATAACAGTTGTACTCTAATTAGATGATAATGAAATAAAAATAAACATAAATTATACAACGTCATATTAAATGCAACTGAATTCCGCGGATAAATGATTAATATTTAATATGAAATGCATTAATTGTAATGTTTATTGTCAAATATAAAACTATTAATTACATAATATTTAATAATACGTGATAATCATTGCCGAGGTTTTTAATAATTACTTATTCATAATTTTTTCCTCCTTACGCAGCAAACGTTAAAAGTACGGCGTGACTAACGCCAGCCGAAATTATTTTCAGAATGAATGTAATATTCGTATTTCACAGTTTCTATTGTACTTTTTAATTTCCGAACCTTTGATATAAAGACTGACATTCCGTATTTATGATCTTTTAATGTCTTCAGCCATTCCCTTTGATGAAGACATTAAAAGTTCACAAACAACTAGACGTGAGGAGGTTCTCTTCGAGACAAACTAACAAGAACTTAACTACATTTTATTTTTACTATTTTTACTAGACTGCTTCTTTTTAACACATTCCTGCTGCATTTAGTAGCTGGTGAGATACCAGAAAATTATGTTAAGTTTTTATTTTCCTTTGACGTGATGCCTCTTCGTAGTCTTCTCTTCCCAGCACCGTTAAGCGGGATTCAGGGAAGTATCTTCCGTGCTCAGATTTTTTAGGCGGTGAGAGCCTAAATGAAAACAATCTCACGTATCTACCTGAAAAGAAAAACAAAGAGAGCCCCTTCCACTCTCCCCGTCTGAGCGAGCGAAGAAGCCTCCGTTATAGCAGGGCAGAGACAAGAAAGAATACTCGCGGATTCGGTCTGCGAGCGAAGCGTGCAAGGGGAACAGAAGGGTGGGTGAGAGAGTAACCTTGACCACCCCAGGTCATTACCAAGCAGAAAAGGCGGAAGACAGAAACCTCCTCGCATTCATTCGCAGCAGTCGGCGCCTCCTCACTCGCGCTGCCTCGCATTGGGATTCTACTTACTACCCCCGAACGGTAAGTTCGTCATCTCTTTTGCCGGTGTCAATCTTTCTTCAAGGACTTTGCGGGTTTTGTTTTCTGTTTCGTTGATTTTTCGGTTACGGATAGGAGACGCGAGCTTCGATTTTCGAGTTGCGGATCAAAATTCAGTTAATATTCTTGAGTTAATTTACATTAATATTCTTGAGTTAATTTTCAAATATTTAATACAAGTAGGATTGCAAACATTTATTTTATGAAAATTCTTATGTTTAAAATTCTCTCTCTCTCTTTTTTTTTTTTCCTTTCCGGAAAAATTACCATTTGACTAACTTCTTTGAGTTTTTTATATAAAGCTGTCAAGTACATTTACGTGTTTGGTGTTGCATTTAGAGTATAAAATTTGAACTTCGGAATATCTGAATATTACTGGTAATGAGTGATCTAACATAATTTTAAAACAACAAAGTACCCTCTCAAATATCAGATTTTTTATGTTAAGGTGAAGCAACCATATTTCTCTTATTCTGTTTAAACATTTCCAAAAATTCTCATCAGAGAGATGTATTTTTTAAATTAATTTTGGTTTTCCATGTTTTAAGCTATCGGCTATTTTCAGTTTTATTGTACCCCCGAACGTTAGTAACTTTTAAATATTTATTACGAATTTTCTTTCTGACCTATTAAAAACCTTTTTTTCCTCCCCGACTTTTGAAGTAAATCTTAATAAAAGAAATGTACCCAACACACACATTTCAAGGTCGAAAATAAAATTAGGCTAAAATCCAACCTCAGGCTGGCGCTGCTTTATTAGCAACCTCACTTATTATTCTAAAAAACAACGACAACTTTTAATTTATATATGCACTATTAATATTCTAAAAAAATACTTTTATCTAACAAGGAAAATTCTTCTGCTTAAGAAAAATATTTTTTCATGCATTATAAGAAAGGTCAGTTAGAAAAAGACACCCCATAAATTTGCAAAACTCAGTTTTTCACCCTAAGAGAGAAAATGTCGGGAGTAGTCATAATTCGGTTTAAAAGAGGAAACTGAATTTATGTAGTGGCATTTTAAAACTTTTCAATGCTTAATTGCTTAGTTATTCATTTTTATGTTTTAAATGTTACCAAGCGTTGTCTTTTTCGACACCATTACAAGAAACATGCGTTTCATAAAGTATTAAAATATACTAACATAGTCTGTGCGTTTCGTAAACATTAATAATCCTTCATAACTTCAGTATCTATCGCATAGAATAAACTCTGGGCTTAAATTTGTAGTTTAACTCAGAGTATATATTAAAAATTATTCTTTGAAAGATGCCTTTAAATTAGAATAGCAATTTCACACTTTTGTAATTTTTTTTCATATGCTTTGAGCAGATCTAGACTGAAGTATATATGCGATTAAGAAAAGCAATAAATAAATAACGGAAGGGAAAAATTCGTGTAAGATGATGTTTGTTGCATCAAAATAAGGCAAATGTTTATTCTTTTCTTTGAACTATCAGATTTACAGTAGGAGTTCTCTTATATAATTGTGTGAAAATGATATGTAAATGCACATTAGGAATTCTCTTATTCAATTGTGTGAAAAATGATATGTAGGTTTTATTAAGGAAAGCATATTTGAAACAATATATGAGGATAAATTATCTGCAAACATTTTCTTGATATTTTAATTGATTATTAATTAACAAATGTTGTGTAATCGAATAGTCATTAATGTTGCATTAAAATTCTGAAAACTTTGTTTGAATATTTTAATTAATTCACGTTATAAAATGGTAATTGTAAAAAAAGTAATAAAATATCTAATTTTATTACTTTTTTACAGTATAAAAAGTAACTTATTAAAATGATTTTATTGATGAATGTGTGAATGCTTTACATTTCACCTTCTTATTCCATTTTCAATATAAAATTTTTCTGAGTAATGATATTAAACTGTGGAGATGTAGATTTAAGTAGATTGACAATTTTAAGATCTTCATCTAAAGTTTTTTTTGTAAAATCTGCTGTCATATTCTTTGATGCTAATGATTCAGCAAATGTTCTAGCACTACAGTTTTAATTAAAGCTAACAATCTATTTATTTTTCCTAATATCATGCGAGCTCCATCTTACCTAATTTAACGTACTTTGACCACTGTGCTTCATTTTTTGCTATAAAATTGTTCAAACTATAAAGCTTCAACGTATTGAATAAGTGCTAGCAAATTAGCATTATTAAAACATCATTACTCTAAGTGAATATAATATAGGCTAAAAGCACTTGTGAAATTAACTTCTGTTTTTTATTATTTGATACCTTCAAGCCTATTCTTGAAAGTATCACTTGATAATGATATTTATTACACATAAATTACACATAAATCTTTTGGTATTTAATCTCCAAATATAGTTCTTGTTATTATTTTAGTAGTTTTAGGCTTTCATAAATTCATTTGAGACACGTTTGTGGCACATAACAGAGACGTGTTTTTCAATATTTTTAATGCAGATATGCGAAAATCGAAATGCTAAATATTAAGCACAATATTTTCTGTTTTACGTTTTACTGTCTTGGTGAATTTTAAATCTGGTGCTTCGTTATCAGATCCACGTTCATCTATTTTTCGTTTCAACAATCTACAATCCAGCAATCCATTTATAAGGATGTATATTTTTGATGAGGATGCTAACACAGTTATAAACACAGATAATGTTGGCACCATAACTAATGTAAAAAAACACAGATTAAACAGGTATTTTACGGAATATGATATTACTAAAACAGTTAGTTAGCAAGTGTAGGCTAGAAAGCTATACTGTCATTTTTTCTTCTCTTGTTCTGTCTCTGTCTTCACCGTCTTCTTTGACAGTAGCGATTTTGCTGTTCTCGTGTTTAATAATGAAAAGTAGTTTTTACTTGCCAAATTGCTAAAAAATATAATTTTCTGAGGCAACATTTGCGTTGATGATTTATTTTACTGTGGTAAATATGAAACAAAATTGTGATTTTTTTTCAGCCAAAAATTTGAACCTATTTATTCTTACGAAAAGTGTTTTGCGAACCGTCAGCAGCAGTTTCGTGGACCCCAGTCTAAGAGCAAATGCAGTTTATACTGCATATGTGTTACGGAATTGATTTAGGAAATATATCCTGCTCCTCAGTTTTAAGGATTTACTTTTTCACCTTTTACTTTTGTTTGCATGTGTAAGTCATGTTTATGAGTTACTGATTTATATATTTATTATCGTAATGTACTACATACTGCCTAAATCTCTAATGCATCGCGAATCAGTATCTGTAAAAGCAACATATTATATATCTGCGTAAGTTACAATATATAGGGCATCTGGTTTCATACAGTGGTAAGCTATAGGATGAAAGAGATGGATATAGGATACAAAGAGCTATAGGATGGAAATATATTCGAGAGTTTTTAACTCAAGTTAAGGCTTTTAATATGGTACATCTAAATTCGTAAACATGGCAATTTTTAAAATTCTTCGTGCTTTTCAAATTTATGTTGATAATGGAATATTTTTTTTTGATTGTTTAGTATAATCTATTCACAAATAGGCAGTTACTTTTAATATACTATGTAACAACAATTAGGTTTTCTTTAGTATCAAACTTTTAAGTGTGTGTAATATTAGCGCACGATTTATATGCAAACTCTTAATTTAAAAAAATCTGAACGTTTTCTAATTTTATATTATACCCAAAGGGGGCGTTTTTTTCATTTACACACACATACACATTTCGAGAGCAGTTGGGCTAATGCCAGTTTAGTCTAAAAATATTTAAAAACAGCATATCCTTAGAATTTCCGATAGATAGTGTTCGCTTTGAAATCGTTGTGATTTTTAATCAGAAATTCGTTAGAGTTTTACAAAATATGAAATAGATAATAAAACAAATTCAAAATTCTGGCCTCCGGGTGCCCGTATTCAGGTGGAAGTCTATATTATTCAAAATTTGAGGGTTTTAGGTACCGTTGTTTTTCACAATGCGAGAAACATATGTTAAATCATGAGAATTCTTCATTATTTAATTTCTGTAAATATAATACTGGGTGATAATATTTGCTGGCAGCTATTTAAAAAGCGATTCAACACTTTTAGTGATTCGATGCAAAATGCCTTTTAGAGGCTACGCCCTTCTGGGCTAACGCCCCTTTTGCCTTAAAAAAATCAAACTTAGGGATTTATTACAAGAGAAACCATTCTAATTGAATAGTTCCATGTTATGACTGTAGCGTTAAAATGATATTCAAAAAAATGCTATTTTTCAAGGTTTCTATTTCGAGCAGGAAGTTTCCATGCTCTGTTCGTTCAGAGAAAGTAGCCTGCAGTCATTTATATGGTGTATGGTTTTTTAATGTAAAATTCAATATCTATTTGTTTTGTAAATCAAATTTTGTCTTAGAAATCCCATTTATTTAAATTTAGTTTATTTAAAGTTTCATGCATCAAGAAATTTAAGTTATATTATCACCACCGTTTGAAATTCAGAGTGTATCATTGCCTAGGGTTTAATTTATCTTGAAAAGAAAATGATTTTTTATTTCGGAAGTTTTTGCTTCAGCTACGGAACAAAATTTTACTTATTCCATTCATATGATTAACAGTAGCATCCAAGTATATCTCTTTAAAATACTTCATTCATATCATGTTTACTAAGCAAGCCATTTCTTGACTTATTTACATAGAAACTTTTTTATGTGTGTGTGTATACGAATATGGGAATATGGCGTGCTTAAGTAAATTAGTAAAGATAATGCATTCATGTGAGTATACATTAAATATTTTGTAACAAGAAAATTTTAAAACATATGGAAATGTTTTGTTTACTTTTCATATAATTTTCAATCTTCTATAAATGCTAGTATTTTCAAGTCTTAAAGGAAAAGCTATCCTATGCCATGTCTTTACTTATGATTAAACTGAAATTTAAAATCCAGCATTAAATAAAAGGATTATATTTAGTGCTGGATTTATTTATCATATAAACATTAGAGAAGTTCATCCATGTCTTTAAAATT